TGGTCGTCCTGTAAAAATGACTGCAAGAGCACAGCGCAGAATTCTGCAAGAGGTAAAGAAGAATCCCAGAGTGTCAGCTAAAGACCTACAGAAATCTCTGGCACATGCTAACATTTTTGTTGACACATCTACAATAAGGAAAACATTAAACAAGAATGGAGTACATGGGAGGACACCACGGAGGAAGCCATTGCTGTCCAAAAAGAATATTGCAGCACGTTTGAAGTTTGCAAAAGAGCACCTGGATGTTCCACAGCACTACTGGCAAAATATACTGTGGACAGATGAAACCAAGATTGAGTTGTATGGGAAGAACACACAACACTATGTGTGGAGAAAAAAAGGCACAGCACACCAACATCAAAACCTCATCCCCACTGTAAAACATGGCGGAGGGAGCATCATGGTTTGGGGCTGCTTTGCTGCCTCAGGGCCTGGACGGATTGTTGTCATTGATGGGAAAATGAATTCCAGAGTTTATCAAGACATTTTGCAGGAAAACGCACAACCATCTGTCCGCCAACTGAAGCTCCGCAGAGGATGGGTGATGCAACAGGACAATGACCCAAAGCATACAAGTAATTCAACAAAACAATGGCTGCAACAGCACAGAATACGCCTTCTGGTGTGGCCCAGTCAGAGTCCTGACCTCAACCCGATTGAAATGCTGTGGCATGACCTTAAGAGAGCGATTCACACCAGACATCCCAAGAATATTGATACACTAAAACAGTTTTGTGAAGAGGAGTGGTCCAAAATTACTCCAGATCGATGTGCAGCTCTGATCTGCAACTACAGGAAATGTTTGGTTGAGGTTATTGCTGCCAAAGGAGGGTCAACCAGTTATTAAGTCCAAAGGTTCATATAGTTTTTCCTCCCCTGCACTGTGAATGTTTACATGTTTTGTGCAATTAAACCATGGCAACATCTAATGTTTGTGTAGTATTATGTTCAGCAGACTGTGTTCTTCTATTGTTGTGACTTAGATGACGTTCAGAGCACATTTTATGCCCAATTCATGCAAAACTCCACGTAATCCCAAGGGGTTCACATACTTTTTCTTGCAACTGTATAACATCAGTGTGAACATGCTTGTAGAATATAGTTGATACTTGGAATAAACGGTTGGATCTGAGGTGGGTAGTGTGGTGTCTTTATGATATGTGTTTTATTTAATGTGAGTTTGGCTATACTCTATACACCTACTGCTACTGGTTGCTCCATACAAATTAGTAAATGCCATCTAAAAGTTAAATACAGGAGTGCCACAACAATGGTTTCAAAGTCCAGAGTTGTTCCTTTAACCCTAAACAGCCCTAATAATATGTTTCGGGAGTCAAATCCTTTTGCAGGAATTAAGGGGCTGTTTGGGATGACACAGGATTTAATTGGGTGACCTTTGTTAAACCATGATTCCAGAGATTTTCTTAAATTAGGTTGCCAGTTGTTACTAAAGTAAAAAATGCAGTACTCATAATCTTCCTAATACAATCCCTCAAGGACTCATCTAGGTTAAATGATGTCCAGCATCGTTCAACCCACTTCATGTAAGTCCAAGGTGCCATGGACACATCCTCTGGGTATGAGTCATCTCTATGCCTTGAGTTTAATGTCCTGGGCAGTAATGGTACAGAGTGTCTGACACAGATGATCTATTCTCTCCCTCTTTGGGAAAATGGAAACTCCCATCAAGGGATGGGCAAGTCACAATGTGGAAAGATAAGTGAAGGCCTACTCAGGGGATGGGTGACATTTCTTGACATATACCTACGTGTTAGAGACTACAAAATGTGTCCTGGAGCAAGACAATAATTACTTCTTTTACTACATGTGTAAGGTTAAAAAAGGTTTAACTCCCTTCCACACAAATCACAACCACCCATAAAAACACAATATTTATTCCTAATACCAATTCATAGGACATGTAATTTGAACTTGGCACATATTTCAAAGATAAATCAGGCAAATCAGAGCTGGAATACATTTCTAAAAAGCTTGCCAGGCTCTATTTTTCTATATCTTCATGATCCCTATATTACCAATCTTTCTTGTTTTTTTTCAATTTTTTGATTAATAATTTATCAGTAGTTAACCCATCTATTTGCCAGTCTTGGAAGACTGTACTTACATGCTTTTGGTCACAATAGGAAAATTATATTTTTGCTTTATTTTTCTACATGATTAGCTGCTGGACAACCAAAATTGGTAAGGTAGAGAATTTTTGGCATACTGCTATGATCTATAAGTATTTCATAACTAAGTTTCATAAGCTCAATGGCAAAAAAGCTTTTGGTAACTACATTCCTGGAAGTCTGGGTAATTTTTTCATCTGAATGAAGTTCATCTCATTCAAAGGGATTGAAAATTTCCATTATAACTCTTTTTAACACAGAGCAATAAAAGGAAATGCAATTTAGGAAATTTATTTTTGACTAACTGTAAGTATCTACAAGATGAAGACATTTATGCTTGTAAAACTTTTTAAAATAACCGTTTAAAGTGATACTAAAGGCTTAATTAAAAAAAAAAAAAAATTACCTGCTCTGTGCAATGATTTTTCACAGAGAAGCCCCAATACTCCCCTTCTCGAGTCCCCCCACCAGCGCTCCTGGCTCCTCCCACCTGTTGAGTGCCTCCAGAGCAAGCTGCTTGCTGTGGGGCACTCGTGCATGCTCGCTCCTGAGCCCCCCTCTGTGTGTCCATAAGGCCTCATGCACACAGGACATTAAAAAAATAGCTGTCCTCCTGGCAGCAACGTTTTTGCAGAAAAAATGCCTGATGCTTGTAAAAGTAGCTAACGCTTTTACAAGCGTTTAGGCATGTTTACCATCGTCAAGTGCTCAGATGTTAATTAATTTGATTGGCCAGAATGATAATTTATTCTGACCATTGAAATTAATTTATGCTCAAGCGCTAAACGCGCCTAGCATTTAGACATGTTTAGGTGCATTTAGACGCGTTTAGCCACGTCAGAATTTTTTTCTGCCAAAACGCTGCTGCTCCTGGACACATTGGCTCTGGGTTTTTGTTTTCCTGCTAAAAAGCACTATGGGTACTAAATGCTTCTAAAAGTCTGTGTACATGGACACATAGGATAACATAGAGGGCCGTTTGGAAGCAGTAAAAAAACAAATGCCTAACGCCCCTAAAAGTGGCTGCAAAAATGCCCTGTGTGCATGAGGCCTAAGACACACAGAGCACAGATCCGCCCCTGCCCCCGATTCCTCCTCACTGGCTGAAAGTAAACAACCTTCAGTCTTTACAACCACTTTAATTCTATTCATAAAAGTGTATCTTGAATCTATCCGTTATTGTATTTTTATATTCTTTTACATTTTGAACATTTTGTCTATGTTTAGATATTGGTTCTCTGTTTTCCTTTCACCTTAATGCTATTTGTATTAGATAACATTGAATAAATAAATGTAGAAGTTTGTATTTCCTTGATTTTCCTGAACGAAAGTCAAGATATTCAATTTTCATCGTTATGGCTTATCCTTTGCCCGTTTGGAAGCAGTAAAAAATGACTCAACATTCAAATCATCATGTTTATACTCATTCTATGCTTACAGTAAAAATAATCACTTTTAGACTTTGTAACTATACTGTAAACTATAAGCAGACATATACTTTATGAGAATATTTCTGCAAGGTCCAATAATCGTATACTGTATAATATTATAATTCCTGTTACAGTATTTTCTGTTCCTAGAAAAGGCAGGCACACTGGGGCTGATTTACGAAAGGAGTATATTTTTTATTTAACCAAGTGATCCTATGTTCACTATAAACATCTTGTCCTGTGTAGCAACATGAAAATAAATAGAAATTCCTTTTTCACATGACCAGGCGATTGGGGTGAAGCTTTATATCAGACTGAGTTAAGTGAAAAATGTATTCATTTAGTACATCAGTTTCATTGTGTTTGCACTATATAATGTTCATAAAGTCAAAGTATTACTAACAAAGATCCCTCAACACATAGTATTTTTAAAGGAAATCTGTACTGAGAGAAATATGTGGACTGCCAATGCTGACCTGATAATGAAGATACTAGCTGCCCTTCTCTTCCTGTCTTCAATAATGTTAGCATCACTAACCTGAAGTGTGCACATCACAAGTGATGTTATATTGTAGCTGTACATTAGATAAAACAATTAGAGAAAACAACACATATTTGATATCGGCCTTAGTGCATTGACTTATGTTACCATTTATTGTGTTTGTATAATCTGTGTATTCTTCATCACATACTCAGCCTGAATTGCCCCAGAAACCTGCATTAAAAAAAACAAAAAACAAACAATTAAATCCATAAATACTATTGATTAAAAAAAACACATTTTTTAAACAAGCACCACTTCTATAGTGGTTCAGAAATTGTTCCACTTTTTCTTTTTTAGCAAATATGGAAAAATGTAAGTTTGGCTTTAAAAAGTTTTACCCTAAAAAGTGGCACCCTTATTAAAACATTGGGACTGAATGCACATAGAGTGGAAAGAAAGTTAAAGAAAGTATTGTATGTACATAGGGGAAAATGAGAACATACATGGCTAAAGCACAGGATCGTTTACATTTATTCAGCAAGCTAATTCACATAAATATGTTACTCAAACCTTGTACATGCATAAGAAGAAGCTGCAGAAGATTTACCATGAACTACAAGACCAAGTGCCTCTAAATATTCTAGCAGCCCTAGTTTAGGAGCGCATGTCAGAACAGATCTAGAGTGACATACTATTACACACAGTGCACTAGTTCAATGGGTTTTCCTTTTAACCAGTATTTGAAAACCTTCTTCTATAGCTCCATCCTACATTAAGAAGACTTGCTACATGCAGAAACAAAATAAATTGACAGTGACTTGGAGAACAAATGCTTATCTACAGTAAACAAATATTACTGTGCAATTCAAAATACTAACTACATATACAGTATGTGTTTATTACAAAATTTGACTATTAATGACATTTCCATTATTCTAGTTTGTAGATAACACAATGGTTAAGAAAGTAGCAGTAATTGGATCAGGAGTTAGTGGCTTGACTGCTATCAAAGCATGCTTGGAAGAAGGATTGGAACCCACATGTTTTGAAAAAAGTTGTGATATTGGAGGTCTTTGGAGGTTTACAGTGAGTTAATTTCCATAGTTTTACAACATTTTTGTATTGAATGTTTATACAAATGTTATGTTAATCAACTCTATATATTCCAGGATGAATTGGAGGATAAAAGAGCCAGCATCTATAGCTCTTTGGTTACCAATGTTTCCAAAGAAACTATGTGTTTCAGTGACTTTCCAATGCCCTCAGATTTTCCCAATTTCCTACCTAATCGGAAATACTTTGAATACATCAAGTTATATGCAGAAAATTTTAAGTTGACAAAATACATTCAATTCAAGGTAAGATATAAGATATACATACATTTATACTATATATATATATATATATATATATATATATATATAAGCAAATTAATTTTAATGGCATCCCAGTCTTAGTCCGTAGGGTTCAATATTGAGTTGGCCCACCCTTTGCAGCTAGAACAGCTTCATCTCTTCTGGGAAGGCTGTCCAAGGTTTAGGAGTGTGTCTATGGGTATGTTTGACCATTCTTCCAGAAGCGCATTTGTTAGGTCAGGCACTGATGTCCGAAGAGGAGGCCTGGCTTGCAGTCTCTGCTCTAATTCATCCCAAAGGTGTTCTATCGGGTTGAGGTCAGGATTCTGTGCAGTCCAGTCAAGTTCCTTCACCCCAAACTCGCTCATCCATGTCTTTTGGGGCCTTGCTTTGTGCACTGGTGTGCAGTCATGTTTGGAACAGGAAGGGGCCATCCCCAAACTATTCCCACAAAGTTGTGAGCATGAAATTGTCCAAAATGTCTTTGGTATGCTGATGCCTTAAGAGTTTCCTTCACTGAAACTAAAGGGCCAAGCCCAACACCTGAAAAACAAACCCTCACCATAATCCCCCCTCCAGCAAACTTTATACTTGGCACAACTCAGTCAGGCAAGCACCATTCTCCTGGCAACCACCAAACCCAGACACGTCCATCGGATTGCCAGACAGAGAAGCGTGATTTGTCATTCCAGAGAACATGTCTCCACTGCTGTAGAGTCCAGTGGCAGCATGCTTTACACCACTAGATCTGACCCTTTGCATTACACTTGGTGATGTAAGGCTTGGATACAGTCTTTATTTCATTTGTAAATACCTTTGCAATGATTTGCAATGATTTGCACCTGAACCACATTTTTACATCATTGTAAACAGGATGAACTGTAAAATAAAAAATATATTTTTTTTTATATACAGTAACACTATTTTTTAAACCAGCGCTGATCAAATTGAAGGAAAGTGTGTTTTTTTTTGTTTTCTTATAATCTTGTGGATTACATTAAAAATAAAAAATTTTTGCCAGAAAATATCATCAAAAGAAGGTTTTGCTTGTTCTAAAAAATAATATATTACCTTCTATATATTAAGTAATCAAAAAGTTAAAATTACACAGAGAGGCCCATAGACAGAATACACAGGTCCATAGCAGAAATGTAAAAAATGACTCCAGTCCATAGGGTGTGTACAAGCGTGTGAGCTAAAGTGGTTAATGTGCACCTGGAATTTGTAATTATTTTATAATATTATATTTTTATTTTATGAATCTAAAGCAGAAGACAGTGTTGAAAGCATGAAGAAATATGCACTGATTGCATGATAATGTGGGTGGGAATTTTCCTTCTGGGTGACATGCTGCCCCACTCATCTGGCCACACCCCCAGGATCACTGGGTGGCCTATGGCAGTCTGTCTCTCGCTCTGCAAGCTCCACCTCCTTGTCGGTGATTGGCCACCGGATCTGTAGCTTAGGGAAAGCACACAGGCAGAGAGGAGGAGCCGAGCGGCAACACGAGGGTCGAGGAAAGTGAGGGTTTGGCCGGAGCTAGCGAAGAGGAGGAGAGCGGCCGGTAAGGTAAGTGTCTGATTGGTAAGGTAAGTGTCTGTGCCGTGTGGCCGGGATATTGGCAGAGCAGATGGTGCTGCTGCAGCCAGATATGCTGGCTGTGGATGGGAGAGGAAGAGAGCCCAGGCTGGAGCAGGGGTCAGCAATGTAAGCATCATTGGTGTCAGTGGGAGTAATAGTGCCCCATCATTAGTGTCGGTGTAGGAGGAATAGTACTCCATCATTGGTGTCACTGACACCAATGTTGGGGCAATATTCCTCCCACTGACATCAACGATGGGGCACTATTCCTCCCACTGACACCAATGAGAGGGCACTATTCCTCCCACTGACACTAATGATGGGGCACAATTCCTCCCACTGACACCAATGATTGGGCACTATTCCTCCCACTGACACCAACGATGGGACACTATTCCTCCCACACTGACATTAATGATGGGGCACTATTCCTCCCACTGACACCAATGATGGGACACTATTCCTCCCACACTGACACTAATGATGGGGCACTATTTCTCCCACTGGTGTTAGTGGGAGGAATAGCGCCCCATCATTGGTGTCAGTGGGAGAAATAGTGCCCCATCATTAATGTCAGTGTGGGAGGAATAGTGTCCCATCGTTGGTGTCAGTGGGAGGAATAGTGCCCAATCATTGGTGTCAGTGGGAGGAATTGTGCCCCATCATTAGTGTCAGTGAGAGGAATAATTTCCCATCATTGGTGCCAGTGGGAGGAATAGTGCTCCATCGTTGGTGTCAGTGGGAGGAATTCATGGACTTTCGTGAATGAATGAGCTGCAAGTCCCGAAAGCCTTAGCAGCTGTTGGCTTGCAGTTTTCAATGAATTACCATGGTGCTGTGGAGTGGCCGAGCTCTAATAGAAAGAGATGGAGCCTAAAGAGGAAGGGGTAGAGTTTCCAGATGAAGGGGTGGATCTTAAACAGGAAGGAGTGGGACAAATCTAGATGCGTGGGTGTGGGGGGGTGATTTTAGTCTTGCCTAGGGCAGCACAAAACCAAAATGCACCACTGCCACCACCTACTACATTTCCACCAGCTGAGATGTTCATTGAGAAAATTATATTTGATGAGGATCTGTTAACCAATAATAGCTTGATGGATCATGTACCCATAACCATGGTAAGAAGGAAATACATGCATTGGAGTCGTGGCCAAGTGGATATGACAATCAAACCAGACGATTAGGGTGGTTTGGCTGTGATATTAGATTCTGAATAACACCTGGGTGTGGGACCCCACAGTGTGAAAAGGCACATGGCCACTGTGTTTACCACTTTTTCTGCACAGCGCCCTCAGGACCAGGCCTTCTGGCTAAGTTCGGGGCAATTTTTGGTTCCTTCCTCCCCTGTCCCTAGGGGGTTTTCTCTTCGGGAGAACCCCCTGGCCAAGTACTGAGTGGCTGGCTTCGGCTGGCCACAAGGAACGGGGGTCCGCCAGGCCTTTTGGCTAGGTGGACCAAATGGGAACCTTGTCCCTGTCAGGAGCTTTGTGCCCTGGGGGATCAGGGTAGAGGTACATCCCCTTCGGGGGAAGGACAAACAAAGCACACCCCTAAGTGCACTTTTTCGTTTGGTGTTTTGCACTTGCACTTTTTTTGTGAACACTTACGGGTTTTTTTTCGTTTTTTGCACGTTTGTGGACTTAAAAATTAGATTCTGAATAATATGAAAGAGGTAATGAAACTGTTTGATGACACAGCTACCTTTAAACAATTGTCAGGAAATCTGGTTTTGAGCATAATGTATGTGTAAAATCAAATTGATCAGTGAAAAATCTAAATATATAAAGAGCTACAGGAGTATGCATATATTCAACACTCTATTGCTCTGGTAATATACAACTTACCAAAGATCCAGAATCATATACAATTCTAGAGCTTTGTATGTTTAGACACAGCAAAGCATTTGGACAAAATCTTATCAACCTTAATCCTTTATTTGAGCTGCAATGAATTTTTAGTGATAAGACATAGTCTTGCAATCTCAGGTGAGCCAATTTATTAATCACATGGAAGGGTGTATAGCAATGAAAGATTTGCTGAAAGAAAACGGAATGTATACTAAATAACAAATTCAATTCTTTCTGGAACATTTATGTTTGGTTTTGGAAAATAACTATTGTACGTGAAGAGACAAGTTTTGCAATTGAGTGGAGCAGCTATGGGAAGTCATGTCGACCACCCTATGCTAATGCCTTTATGAACATGATAGAAAAAAGTAAAGCTATGCGGATTATGTTTTACATGTGCAGTGTCATCTTTAGTATAGATTTATAGATTATATTTTTGCGATGTGGGTTGGTAACATGGCTTCCTTGTGGGTGGTTCGTTACATTGAGCCATTCCTGAACTGATGAGCCCCAAAAGACTGCACCAAGTGATGCTCACCTATTGTGATATTAAAAAACATCACAATCAATATGTGCTTGTGTGTGTGTGTGTATGTATGTGTATATGTATCTCTCTCTCTCTCTCTCTCTCTCTCTCTATATATATATATATATATATATATATATATATTGGATTTGAGCCTCTTTCATTTCTACATTTTTACTAGTTATACATTTTGCTCGTTGTTCTTCATCTGAACCAGCTAATATTCATGCTTTGACATCTACTGGATACAGAAGACATATATTTTTGTGTTTTTTCTCACATAGACAACAGTGTGCCAAGTTGAGAAACATCCAGACTTTCCTGTAAATGGTCAGTGGAATGTTACTACAGAAAGTGATGGTGAAAAAAAGACTGCTATCTTTGATGCAATTTTAGTTTGCACTGGTCAACATGTGGATGCTGAGATACCAATAGACAGTCTTCCAGGTAATGTGTACAAGGATTTTACTGAATATATCTTTTCATGTGAATGTAGTCAAATTATTATACATAACATGACCAGCATGCAATTAGGGGATGAAGTTCAAGTTTGTCAATAGAGTTAAGTTTGCAAGTTTGTCGGCAGGTTCGCAATTTGTGGTTGTGGCAAATTTATGTGTAAATTCCCCCAGGATAACGTTTACACTATGACTAGTAGGCTTAGAAAGGCCAAGAAGGGCTTTTGTATAAGCAAGCTCTCTCTCTATAACAAGTAGGTGGGTGGGCACATGGCAGTTATAGTGTAAGTGTATTTATAGTTGCTGTAGGGAAAAGCTAGGGAAAGTTGATAAACTGTTTAGGGAGAGATTTGTCTTAGTTAGGAAAGTATACATTAATTCTGAATATTTGGACAATCAACCTTCTTGCTGCATTTCCTTCTCTTATTATTGTTATTAATACTGTGGGGCATTTTTGTCTTTTATTTTGTGGTTGATTGAGGTCTGCAGTTACTTTTAGCTGCTGTCCTGTCAATTGCAAACTTTTCTTTTGCTGCAAATTTATTTTTCCAGCTTTCATTTACTAGGCAGGAGGGATATTGTTTACTATTT